AAAAAACCCAACCTTGGAGGACTGTTTACTTTGTATACAAAATATGAGGATGATTATAGTAGTGTAGATTTCAGTTAATTGAATAGTACTTCAGATAGTTCATCTGAATTGATGTCCAACTGTTTCAGAAAGTTAGTTGTTTCAAAGTCACATTCTGAAATCCTTTGGTGGGTTTGTACTCTCCAGTCCTGGAGGCTCAGGCATATCATTTGAGCTTTTCCCATTCTTCCTCTCCTATCATATTGCTATTCACTTGATACCTGGTAATTCCTACTGATGCAAGATGGGGCTGAAGCCATATGCCAACTGAGAGAGAGTCCTTGGCTCCATGCAGAACAGAATTCAAGAGCGATCCAGAGTTAAAGACAAAGGAGAGTTTTTCAGAGAAGGAATAATGCTCCATAGACAGAGTGTGGTCTCCTCTCAGAGTCAGAGAATGAGATCCTTAGTTTTTGAGGAATTGGGTTTATATCTGTTTCTTAGTTTCTGTGAAAAATTACTGATTATAGGGAATAAAGTATGGAATGAATGGTTGAGTTTAACTTGTGCAAGGTACAGCTTAAAGTCTTTGTTTTCCTGTTTTCATGATATGGGTAAGCAGTTGTTAGCAATCTCAGCAGAAATCTTCTTTTGTTCTGTAGGTTCCTCATGGTCTGGCCGTATGGCCGATTAACCAGATTACATGTCTAACATCTAACATGAAACAGGCTCTGAATTCTTGGTTTAATATTTAGTCAATCTGTGTAGTTCTCATGCCTCTTTCCTATATTACTACTTTTGTCCTTCTCTGTAGACTCTGGCATTTAAAGTGTCTGGTGAGTTATACTCTGTGTGAACAAACCTTGCTGCTTGGGACAAGTCAGCTTCTGGTCTTCCAGCAGCTAGAGCAGTGGTTCTCAACCCTGTTGAGTTTTTGCCCTTACCTTGGGGTACTTTTAAAAATATTGATGGTATCACATTAAAATCAAGAACTTCTATTCACCAAAAGACACCATGAAGAGAGTGAAAGGCAAACTCATATTTGCTACATATAATTGATGGACTTATAGTTAGATATATACATAACTTTAAATTAGTAAGAGAAAGAAAGATAACCTAGTTTTAAAAGTGGGCAAGAGGCAGGCACTTCACAACAGGTTGTATCCAAATGTTCAACATCTCTGAAAAGTTGTTCAACCTCATTAATGATCAGGGAAATGCAGATTAAAACCAGGATGGAATACCACTACACACCCACCAGAGTGGCTAAAATTAATGTTGAAGATGCCAGGTATTAGCAAGGATATGGAGCAAAAATTATCTTTGGGTAGAAGTATAAATTGGTACAATTATTTTGGGAAATAATTTGGCATTATTTATTAAAGTACGCACATATGTACCTCATGACTATATTTTCAATCTCAGAGAAACAGCTCAAATGTCCATCAGTAGTATAATGGAGAAATAAACTGGAATATTCTTACAGTAAAACTACTGTAATGAATATGAATGAACAACTGTATCCTACAACACAATAAATACATTTTGCAAACATAGTATTGAGTGAAAAAAGTCAGACACCAAAGAATACATATGATGTCATTTATATAATGTCAAAACCAAGCAAAACTAATGTGTGATGTTAAACCAGGCTAGTAGTCACCTTTTTGGGGTGAGGGAGGAAAAGGGGACCTAGTGACTAGAAGGAGGCAAAAGAAGACTTCTAGGATGCTGACAAATGTGGGTTAGGTTTTGTTTTGTTTTTTAACTTTGTGGTAGTTACACTGAAATGTTCACATTATGGTTATTCATCTGGTTGTACATTTATGATTTGTGTACTTTTATGTTTGTATGTTATGTTTTAGTAAAGAATTAAAAAATACTGACTGATATACATCTATTAGAATTGCTAACATAAAATAGTACGAAGTGCTGGTGAGCCTTCAGAGTAATGGAACTCTTAAACATTGCAAGAGTAAATACAAAATGGTATTGCCCCTGTAAAACAGTTTCTTACAGTTAAACATACACTTACTCAGTGATCCTATTTATAGGTATTTATCCCAAATTAATGAAAACTTATGTTCTCACAGAAACTTGTATGTAAATGTTTATAGTGGCCTTATTTATAATTACCAAAAAGTGGAAAAAAACAACTAGGGAAGGAACAAACAAACTCGTACACCTGTACCCTGGAATACTAGTTAGCAATAAAAAATACCAAACTACTGTTAGGCAACAACGTGTGCAGATCTCAGCCATTATGCTAAGTGAAAGAAGCCAGACTCAGAAGGCTACATATGGTATGACTTCATTTCTGCAACATTCTAGCAAAGGTAAATCTGTTTGGTAGGGCAGAAAACAGATGAGTTGTTGCCTGGGAATGGGGGAAGTGTTGGTTATAAAGGGGCACTGTGTCTTGATACAATTACACACTGTGTATATTTGTATATAAACTTGACTAAAAATCCTGATGCCTGGTTCTCCTCTCAGACCAATTAACTCAGTCTGAGGGTGAGATGCAGGCATTACTGTTTATTTTAAACATTTCCAGGTGGTTTCACTGTATAGTTAGGGTGGAGAACCACTGAGCTACATAAATCAACTGAAAAACTCCAAGGAAACATTGCCTTCTGTCTTTGAGTTTCTACTGTCTTCAACAACTGATTAAAAACACTAGACAGAGATTGAAAATCAGGTGAAGTAATTAGTGTATTAGGGGGTGCATATTATCTCACTTTTTCTCATTGATGGATAAGAGACATTAGGTAGCCTTTTTTTTGGTTATCACTTTGCTGCTACTGACATTATTCAAACTGGTGATTATGAAAACCAGCATCAAGAAAGGCATGACAGAGTTTGATTTATTTAATCCATTGTATTTGAGATCATACCCTGGGTAGTACTCAATCGTTCTCTCATAGCCATGGTAGTTTCATCCTTTTCTATAGTCACCTTGTGAGCAGACCTGACTCAGGGCGATGGTCTAAATTATACCACTAGGTGTCACCAAGGAGTGATGAATGATGAATAGATGAATCCAAGGATAAAATGTGATGGGAAATTTTTGAGAGCTTATTTTCCAGGCCTGAAGGGCTCTGAAAGAGGCAAGTTAATGCAGAAGATCTAGTGGAGGGTTGCAGTATGTCTTGAAAATTTGCCCCAGCTTTTTAGGGATTCCTCATTCTCTAGCCTTGGGCTGCTTCTGTAACCTTCTTTATTTATTTACTCTTATTTTTCCCCTTGAGGTTTTTCTTAAATGTCTATACTTTGACATTAGATGGCCTTCTTTGTCATATTACTTTTCCTGAGACCTTTTTCCTATGTATAATCTGTTCTGATATAAAAGTGTTCTCAAATAGATGCTTCTGACCTCCATTCCCCACCTTTGTTATTTCCCCACTACTGTCAGAAAACTGATTACTCCTTGTAGTTTCTCAGGCTAAATATGAATAGAAAGATTGGGAAGAGATTGGTCAGATAAGCCAGGTTAGGCCCAAGGCAGTGGGTTAAAGGCAGTCTTTCTGTAGATATCTATGCTTGGCTTTCTCTCTCTCTCCCCACTCTAGCCAAATAATATAAAACCAGAAACAGGGCCCTAATACCAAACCACAGCCGAGATTTGACCTTCATCCTCTGTGCCTTGTCAAGCCCTTGTCCCTCAGATTTGGGTTGACTAATTTTTCTAGCTGGTACCTATAGTTACCAACATAAACATAAGTCTTAGTCCCAGTTTAGCTGTGAGTTTCATCCCTGGCCTGTCCCCTAAAGTTAAATCCTTGATAGAGGTTAAAATGCCCACTTGTTTCTTTAAACTCTAAATCTGCATTTGTTTCAAGTCTGTTTTAGAATCTATCATCCCCATTTAGCATCTCTTAGCTAACCCAGCTCCACATGATATTTTATTGCATTTATGGGCTCTGCTATGTAATCTCATACTTATACGTGCCCTTGTATTTTCTTTCCACAGTCAGCTGCTAAAAATGGTTTTCATGTCTTGTACTTTTGCACTTGGAATAGTTACCTTGCAAGATACTAAGCATAGAATCAAAGTAATTGTTAATAAATTAATTGAGCCAGAATATAATAATAGTAGCGAGCACTTATATAATGCTTACCATGTGCCAGGCACTTTTCTAAGTATATTACATATGTTATCTCATTAAATTCACACAAACACCATGAGAGAGAGACTCTTCTCCATTTTATAGATGTGGTAACTGGGGCATAGAGAGGTTAAGAAACTTGCCCAAAGTCGCATAACTATGAAGTGATAGAGCCAGATTTTAAACTCAGGCAGTGCAACTCCAGGGTCCGTGCTCAACCTTTACACTATGATTTAATTAAAACTATAAAGTAAATATTGAACTTTTATTTTATGTGAGTCACCGTGCTGTTTTACATGTATTATCTCATTTATTCCTCACAGGTACTGTATGAGGTAGGTACTACACTACCCCTATTTTGCAGACAAAACTGAGTTTAAGTAAATTGCTGAAAGCCATGCAACTAATAAGCCCAAGGTGGTGCAGTAGGTTAAGAACCCAAGTTTGTCTGAGTCCCGTCCTGAGCTCCAGCTCTTAACCACTATGCTATATTGCCCATGAACCTCTGGTGCTATTAACTGGGTCAGAGCCTACCTTCGGGAAAAGGTATTGGTACTCTCTTTTTTGGTTTATGTGTACTGGAAAGTGCTTTGCTTATTCACTGGTCTGTTCAAGGGGCATATCCTGGGATAGTGCTTGTGTGACTTTCCTGGTCAAGCCGATCTTTTGAACCTCATCATTAGATGATGCTTTCTTTACTAATAGCAGTTTTTTCAGTCTTGGGCCATTGCCTCCAGTTTAGGTAGGTAGGAACTATTAAATTCAGTTTCTTTCAATGCTACTGCATTTTTTTGAGTAGTTCATCCACCAGTAAGCATGAATGTGAAATATAGATAAAAAGCCAAAGCACTGTTTGAAGAATGCTGTTTCTAATGATGGTGGTTTATGAACCTCTCTTTTCTATTTGTTCTCAAGGGCTTCCCTTCTGAAGAGGCAGAGGTTTTGCAACAGCAAGAGAGAAATTCTATTAAGAGGAAGAAAATCATGAAGTTTATTTTGTCTTTCTTTCCCTTTCCTCAGAGTCTGAATGGTGTTTGGCTGAATAGAGTACGTCTAGAACCTTTAAAGGTCTATTCTATCCATAAGGGAGACCACATCCAGCTTGGGGTTCCCCTGGAAAATAAAGAGAATGCAGAATATGAATATGAAGTTACTGAAGAAGATTGGGAGAGGATGTCTCCTTATCTTGCCCCAAAGAGTGACCAGATGATGGAAAAAAGTAAGAGCTTGAGAACTAAAAGGAAATTTAGTTTGGATGAATTAGAGGATCCTGGAGCTGAAGGCCCCTCAAAGTTGAAATCCAAAATAAATAGAGTATCTTGTGAACGTGGTCAACCAGTGAAATCACATGGGAAAGGTGAAGTGGCCAGTCAACACTCTGAATATTTGGATCCTAAGTTGTCTTCTCTTGAGCCACGTGAGAAGACTACAGGGGCTCACGTTTACTCTGGCCCCGCAAAAGCCGTGAAGCTTCATCATAAGAAGGAGAAAGCATCAAACCCTTTTGCATCTCAGAGCAGCTTAGAGTTGTTTAAGGTGACCATGTCCAGGATTCTGAAGCTGAAAACACAGATGCAAGAAAAACAGAAAGCTGTTCTGAATGTGAAAAAGCAGACCCCAAAAGGGAACTCAAAGAAAATTGTGAAAATGGAGCAGGAATTACAGGATTTACAGTTCCAGCTTTGTGCAGAGCAGGCCCAGCAGCAGGCCAGAGTGGAGCAGCTAGAGAAGACTTTCAAGGAAGAGCAGCAGTTTCTCCAGGTACCACACAGGACAAAAGGACAAGAGTGCTCAGGGGTGGGCAGGCTGTTTGTGAGCCTCTGGCCAGAGCTCTCTATTTCTGGGTCAGGAACCAAATGCTGAGCTCCAAGGACAGGAGACAGAATGGGAACAGAAAGCTTTGATGTAAGAGGTTGAGTCAATGGTTAAGGCTTCAGTATGATTATCAGATCAAGAGCCAGAATTGGGGTACCAAGATGGGGTAAGGTAACTGGCAGAGCCAGCCCCAGGATGTAACTGATCTCAGGATATAAAGTTGAGGCATCTCAGAACTGAAGTCAATTCAGAGAGAGGTTGAATGAAGGTCAAGATGCCACGAAACCACACTACATTCCAATTAAACCAATAATGTCCTCATGAGTTATTTTACTTTGCTCTGTCAAAGCCTAATCAGGTAGCCCCAAAGCAGGTACTGGTTAGCTAGTTACTCTGCCCTTGATGCACCTGGCAACTTTTTAGCTCTGTAGCTAACCTAGGAAGTGGGAGGCTACAAAGGCAGAAAATGTTTTCCTTTCTGTCGTGAGCAGCCATCATGGAAGGGGACAGGTATACCATGATTCCATTGTTGGCTTGAGTGATAAACCACCTTCCATAGTGCCTTTAGTGGTAAGATAAAATAATGACTGTCTTAACTGTGTCAAAGTAAGACCAAATGTATCCCTGTCCCTGAGTCATTTTTGTGAATGGCAAGCTCTTGCACAAAGCTTCTAGGCTAGAGCTGATACTGGTCCCTGTTCAAAATGTCAGTTCCCATCTGGCAAGAGCCACATATTTTGCTCCCACCTACTTGCTCAGGTAATACTGAATGTCAAGAATTCCCCATTGTTGACTTAGAACTAAAATGAGCCCAGGATTGACATGAATAAGCTTTTATTTACTTTGTTCAAGATAAAGAACAACGTGTAGTGTTGGCTTAATTCTGAACGATTTATAAATTTCATTCTAATCTCTGCTATCCTCTTGAACTGGTAGTATTAGCAGAGGCCATGGATTAAATAGTTCTTTCTGAGGGTGTACACTGCTTGCTTATGTGTATCTTTTTGCTTCCCTTTCCAGCCTGGACTAGTTCTTGAAATTAATAGAAGGAAAGTTAGCTTTACATATTTAGTGTTTGCCACCCTTCCCAGAGCAGAACTCTCTTTAAAGGCTAATGTGTTCAGGAGCAAGAGTTACTGTTAATTAATAGTTGTGGCTGCTCTATGGAATTATTCAAGGTATGGCTGTAAAATCTTTTTCCATACCAAAATGATAAAGGCAAAAAGGACTGGTTTAGAAATTTTCTCCAGGTGCGAAAGTCATATATAAATTGTTCATAGTGAAGTATATCTAGTTCTTTATTTATTAGCTGATTTCTCTCTGCCACCAAGCCTTAGGGATTTAGCCTACCTCAACTACTTGTTCAGAAGCTCGTTTAACACTTGCTGCTTCACAGAGATTTTTTTTTAGTACCCACATTGCCTGGCACTATACTTGGGTTTGGGTGATTATAAAGATGCCTAATAAAGGTATATTATACATATAAAAGAATCAGAACAGTTTTAAGTTATTACATTTAAATTAGAGAACAACTTCAAGCTGGCATATTAAATGGGTAGGTAATTCTTAAAATAAGGAGGGAAGGGTCCAGAGTTTCTTGTGGAAGGACTGAACTTGATGATGTAGAAGGCATCCACGTTAGAGGAGACCAATAGAGGAAAAATAGCATAAGCTCAGGTGAGGTGGGAGGAGAAGCAGTTTATAGACTGGACGTGGTAAAGAGACTCAGAATGAGAAATAGAGGGTGCCCAGAATCAAGGGAAGAAATGTGGTAGAGCTTGTGAGTGCCAGCATGGGGGATTATATCTGAGTTTATATAGTTGGTGGCTCAAAACCTCTCAGTTTACATCCTTTTGGGAGTCACAGCATTTGCCAGTGAAGGAGACTTGGAGTATTAGCCCAGAGTTTCTCCAGAACAGCCTGAGTGATGATTGAAGGTGATATCTCTGAGGTGAGCAGTATTGAGCAGTTAACTCTGCTTAAATCCCTTACTGCCAACAGTTTGAAGTAAAATGGGAAAATCCCCCCCACCTCCTCCACTTCTTGCCCCCTGTTGTTTCCAGATGCTCATGCTAGCTGGTCTGCTCTGTTTGTTGCTCAATTTTGTTTCCCTTTTTCCTTCTTACTGGGAAACCTTCCATTTTGTTTTCGGCTTTGCAGGGTTTGGAGAAAGAGCAAGGAGAGGAGGACCTGAAGCAACAGCTGGCCCAGGCTCTGCAGGAGGTAACTTATTTCTTGCCATTGTACTGAGATTATAGTGGGCCGCAGAGTCGGGGGCAGCCAGGCTGCACGTAGCCACTGGCTGCCTCTGCTGTGTAGCACACACCTCTGCGGCATCTCCATTCTGTAGACAGAGCAGGTGGCATCTGCTCACACCATCAGGTCGGAGATTTGGAGCCTCACAGACATGCCAGACCTCAGCATGAAAACTTACATCTTCATCGGAGCAGGAGCTGCTCTAGTGAAGATGGAATGGAGCTTATAGCAATTAGGAGGCTCTCTGGAGGAAGTGGCTGCATTTCCAGAAAGGTGAGGACAGCAGAGGAGAATTGCGAGCTACAACTTGGCCACCAAGGCCTGCAAGGGCCTCCATTACCTCACCGTTCCTGAGCTGAAGCCATTGAGAAACCATGTGAGAATGTTTCAATTAAGCACTTTAGATCAGGTCAAGAATGTACAGTTTAACAGTCAGTAAAACATATTGATTTACTGAAAGGGCAAGGCTCACAGTAATAAAATTCTAAAAGATTGTAATTTATTTCATGTAACTTGACTGTTTATCTCTATTTTTTATAAGCTTTTTTGCATCTTTAAAACCTGCTTTGTCTTCTATCCTTTACATGTTACGATTACTAGTTTGATGCAAATTTAGTCAGGAGGTTAGTGCGATGCTTCATGTCTCCTTGAGAAAAATGAGCATTCGAATTTGTTTAGGATAATATATATATCCTTACATTTGTTGCATACCTACCTCCCAACCTTAAACAGTGCTAACAGTCACTTATTATTACAAGCTTGGGAGGTGCCTGCCTTGATATCATTGAGGGTTGCACAAACAGCCTTGGAAAGAATTAGGTGAAAATTAATTCAGTCTTTTTGGAATTTTATTTTCTAAGTTTGTTTATTTTCTAGGGTGGGAGGGTAGGCATGTTTCCCATTTAGAGCATTATTAAATTAATATTCAGGTATTGTTTTGAAATTGACTGGAAAAGGGTAAGTTTCTGCTACTCAGAAATCCCTGAGGGATCATTGAGTGCCCTGCACCCATGACTCTTCATCCTTTCCTGAGACAGGAAAACACACTATCATTTAGTATGAGGTACTTGGTTAGTCTCTGTTCATTAGCCTAAAATGGATATTTTTAGGTCACAGTTCTATAACAACATGTCTGGGGGGCATACCTCTCTCTCAACTAAAACATGGTTGTATTTTGGTCCACTCTGTTGGTTCTTCTGAAGCTTTTCTTTTTCATTTACCAGGCCTTTATAATTTCCATTTACATAGAGCTTAAAAAACTTTTCTGAATTATTTCATATCTGTTACTTTTTTATTAACAGCAATGTGGGAAAGGTGCCTGTTTTCCCATTTTATAGATGAGAAAGTTAAGGTATGCACATCTAATTAGTGGTCAAGATGAATTAGTGGCCGTCTCCTTTAACTGCTTTTCTTAGGAGACCACACATTTTTAAGTTTGATTCTTAAGTAATCTTTTCAGAAATGCTTACCTTTACTCTATCCTCTTTTAAAAAGGGATTTCAAGTGAGATTTAAAGTGTAAACTATACTTAAACACAAAGGAGCTCAGAGATTATCTTTCATAGAAGTGGAACCTCTTGATGTTTAATATAGGCAGTTGGTCACAGTGAATGAGCTGTTAGCTCTTGGGTATGCCAGGTTCCAGAACACAGAGGCAGAGTTTAGGCAGCATTTTCTTAGGAGCATGTAGTGGGCGATTGGTAGAATAAATAAGTTAAAGGTTTTTTTTATTTCAATGAAAATGATTATCTAGTTCCTCTGAATCCCATTTCTCCCTGGTTATTTCTTAAAAGCCACTCCCATTGCGGGGCAGCCTCAGAGTTACTTATTAGTTCTTGAACATTGGTTCCTAGAATCACTCGGGTGGCTTTTTAAAAAATATGCACATTCCTGGGGCCCAAGCGAAACCTACAGAATCAAACTCTCTAGAAGGCAGTGTAAATTCTTCAGTTGATTTGGATGGCCACTGCGGCTGGCTTATTTCCAGAAGGATTAATAGATTTGATGGCTTCCCTCCCTATCTGCCCCCTTTCTAGAAAAAAAAGTAGCAGGTAAGTGTGATGCCCAGAAGGAACAAAGGCATTATTTTGAAATTGCCTGTCTATTGATTCCTTGAACCAAATCCACTGACAGAGGGAGCAGACACGTGTGTGGCTAAAAGGAAGAATGCAGTGTAGCTCATCTTGAGTATGTATCTACTCTGTTTCTGCAGCATCGGGCTTTAATGGAAGAGCTAAATCGCAGCAAGAAGGACTTTGAAGCAATCATTCAAGCCAAGAACAAAGAATTGGAGCAGACCAAGGTACTAGAAAGATGATGAAGGTTTAGAATTTGGTTAGTACATGCAACTCAGCATTTTCAACAGTGCAAGGGTTGCTATGGTGAATGAAGAGAGAGATTATGGTTGTTCCTGGCCTCAGGGGAAATAATCCATAAAATTATTCAGGCCTATAGAATGTTTTCCTATAAAACAACATCTATTTCCTTTTCTCATTCAGAAGAGAAATGCTGGGAATAAGATACTCGCATCCTGCAGTCTAGTTCATTGTCTATTGCAGCTGCTCCTTCAGTGTGTCTCACTGACATGGCTAAGGAGTGGTGTAGTCAAAATAAAAAATAGTTCATCCTCATGTATTTATGTAATTATTTTCCACATCAAATCAGTGGAACTCTTAAATTAGGGGCTATAAACTCAAGTGCCCACTGGGGTTAGCCTGGTAATGGAAGTGAGTAAAGTGGCTTGGGTGTAAGAACACAGTAGGGAGCTGTGAGAACAGAGGTGCACAGGAGAAGGGCCTTCGCCTTCCACCCCTACCCCAAGAGGCAGCTCCCCTCTGCTGCAGCCAGTCAGTTGTTGCCATCCAGAAATGCAAACCTAGTGTTCTCAAATCTTCTGAGTTTTCCACAGAAGATGGAAATCCAAATGTTTACATGCAATATCCCAATTTTCAAATATTGGCAACATATTCAGTTTTTTGTTTTGTTTTTCAATACCATGAGGGCCAAACTAAACAAATCTGTAGGCTGGATCCAGTCCACCATCAGTTTGCAACCTTTGACCTGGAATGAATGCTTGAGACTGACTGTATCTCTCAGCTCACCCCTCCTCACATGTAGACCTGGAACAGAGTACGGAAAGAAGGAGACTCCTTTCACTTGGTTTGATATCCTTATTCTCTATTTAAATCACATAGTACCTTCTTCCCCAACCTCCAAGAAACCACCACATCTTTTTAAACCCAGCAATTCATAAGTTTTCAGGGAACTTGACTAGTTAGAAATGGGTCCAGACCCTATTGACTTATGGCAATAAGCAGTCTAACAGCCTTTGCTTGGATTAGAAAAAATAAAAGATGAAAAATGAATCAACCACTCAAATATACCATAACTGTCTTTTCCTCTCCCCCTCAGGGGCTCCTGATACTTTCTGTTTGGGAGATGAGGTGCTAACTTAAATAAATGTCTGCTTCAAAAGAGCTCACCTAGGATCCTCTCTAAAAAGAGTATCCACAAGCAGTCTGACCTCTTGTGGAAAGCCTAGAGAAACTATTGCGGACCTCTGCAGGAGTAGGAAGTGGCAAGCATCATGATCTTGGGGCCTAAACGTCCTTCAAGAGGCCACCTCTTCAGCCTGCCACCTCTAGAGAAGATATTTTATAGAAGAGGCAGCTACGAAAAGCACACCGGACCTTATACACTAACTCAAGCTTCCTGCCTCTAGGGACTATTCTTTATATCTTCTTGTGCAGTGAGTTCTTGGTTCTTGGGGTAATTTTATATTACCTCTGAACTGCAGTTCACTATGAGATACTTAATGCCATCTAGGGTGGTTGGTGGGATTAGTATGCTACCTTCAGTTTTTCTCGTTTGGTTAATTTTAAGGAGAGAGAAACTACAGTGAAAATACTGAAAAAGCAGAGAGAGGAAAGAAAGGAAGACAGTGCCCCATATTAGAAAAGTTCTGAGAAACAGTAACCCTTGGGGGAAGTGTTTTATTCTCTGTGTTGCTGCGCCAGGATGAATTTTTAATTTAGGCTCCTTCTGAATTCCATTCCAGAAGATTAACCCTGCTCTCTGTCCTGTTTTACATTCTTGTCGGTTCTCCAGAATGACAGATGGGATTGTGTGTCTTTGCAGGAAGAAAAGGAGAAGGTGCAAGCACAGAAAGAGGAAGTTCTTAGCCACATGAATGATGTGCTAGAGAATGAGCTCCAGTGTATTATTTGCTCAGAATACTTCATTGAGGTAATTATGAGCAATGGCTCACACCTTGTCACTCTCTCATTTCTGAATCAAGGCTCGGCTACACAGACTGCTTCTGCTATAGGAAAACATTCTGAAGAGCTTTTCTTCCAGAAACTTCTTGTAGCTATTTGACTTCATTGTAACCTCTAGAGGTGGCCACTTCTCATTTGTTTTTGTAGTCTTCTTTACCTTCACTGTCCTTTTTTTAAATTTCATTTGTTCTTGAGTATTTAATATAATCAAAATTTTTAGCTGCATTAAAGCCTTTATCTCTTTGTTGTTGGGGAGAAAACAGGGCCACATGGCATTTGATTTTTGAAGTATCAGAATAAAGCTGCTCAATAAAGCTACTCTTTCTTTACTCTGAGCATGGTGCTGAGAGTGGGCGCGTAGCACAGCCTTTAAACAGGGAGGTAAATGTCATTGATGTATGGTCACTTTGGGAATTTGGCAGCCAAGTGGAATATATTTCAGGGACTTTGAAGCTCCTTATGAAAATGAAACCTCTCCTAGGTTACCAAATATTATCCTGTAATATTTTTGCACAGACGCTCTTTTATTTTTTTTTACAAATTCTGTCACTTGTGACCAGTTCATTTTATACCACAAGTTTAAATTAAAGTTGTTAAATGACAGTGCTTTTCAAACTCCTTTAAAAAGGAAAACGCATATAGACACTGCTTCCTTTTTTGTGGTGGTCTTTAGGAAAGTTGAGTCTATTAGCCTGAAAAATTCCTCCTGGGCAGACCTCTTTCTTTTGCCCTGAATCCACTTTGACTTCAGGTCATAGTTTCCCCTAGTTTCTAGTCATTTGATTCCCTACTCAGGAGAAACTCAGTATTATTGTGATAGGACTTATGGACTCTATTAGAGAAAGGCAAAGAAGGGGGGCTTGGAATGGGTGATGAGTTAGCCAACCTGGAACATCTGCACAGACAGACAACTTGACCTGTGTTTTGTTTACAGCAGTAGCCTGACCTTTTCTACTGGTCTCCTCTTAAAATCAGTGTTGGAAAGAGGTTTTATTGATTTATTTATTTTTTTTAGGATGCCCATGTTTTATTCATAGACAAGATGTTTCATTTTAATCAGACAGGTTTTTAGTCCTGTTTATGAGAATTTACCTCATACAGTAAACAGATTGTCTCCTAGTTGGCTTTCTGGGCTCAACCTGGCATTTGAAAAATAGACAGTTTCTGTGTTATTTTACACTGCTGTCCTAAAAGCATGAACAAAGACTTTAAGCCTCATAAAAAGTTATATCTTAGGAGATATACATAAACAAGAGTGTGAAGAGAATGGTTTATATTCTTGGGAATGAAAAGGGCCCTGGCAGAAATCTGACCACTGGGTTTACTCAAATAATAAGCTTCCTTCTGCTTTCTCTCTTCTCATAGGCTTATTTACTTAGGGGTTCAGGCACTGTCAGTGTACCCATTACACTTTTCCATTTTTTTCTTTTTTCCTCAGCTTTTTCAGTTGTCATTTACATTTATTTTACTTTTTTGGTTTCTTTTGAATAGAGATGATGCTTCCTACCATTCTATATACTGAGTATTCAGTGTGTGCTCCCCTTCATATATTAAAATTGAGGTTCTAGTTCACCATTAGCAGGACGTACATTTGTTTTTCATAAGAGAATTAGTGATGTATTTGTACCAAACATTCACACACTTACTAGTTCTACTTGTGCCCAGTGACATTTATTTGTACGGTACCTATCCCATGTTGGCAGTGGTCTAAGTCGGTGGAATAAAACAGACAAATCAGCCTACCTGGGGCCTGAAGCTATGAATTTAAATTGAGAAAGAAATGAATCATATAACTCGAAGCTTGAAATTTCCCATCCCCAAGAATAATTCTGATGGCTTTTGTAAGCTCTTTGTAGGGTGGGATTATGGTTAAATTTCCATTTGGCCTTGGGGTTTAACTGCTCTCCTATCTTTGAGATCACAACCATCCTGGGATAGTAAACGTGACACTTCTGATGTGTGTTCACATTCACATTGCAGGCTGTCACCTTGAACTGTGCACATAGTTTCTGCTCCTTTTGTATCAATGAATGGATGAAGCGGAAGATAGAATGCCCTATTTGTCGGAAGGACATCAAGTCCAAAACCCACTCCCTGGTTCTGGACAATTGCATTAGTAAGATGGTAGATAATCTAAGTTCAGAAGTAAAAGAACGACGAATTGTCCTCATTAGGGAACGAAAAGGTGAGTGGGTATGAACAAGAAGGTGAGTGCCCTCAACGAAGGACTTCTAAACTGGCAGATTTTTTTGGTTGGGGAATAGAGTCAGATTCTTGAGCTAAAGAAGAGGTGGAAGAAATAGGAAAAAGTAAAAGGAGTTAAAGATAATGAATGTGTGAGAGTTAAAGTAGAATTAACTCAGTTACTTGAGCATCCATAAAGGGAGAGGCTAAAGAGTATGTCCCTTGTTTTTAGGGGGTAAAAAAAGATTAGAAAATACATGGTCAGACAGTTTACTGTACTGATCACTAGGTGGTGCTGTTGTTCAAGACAGTTTAGTTGTTGCCCAGGTGTTGCAAAATCCTTGATGTGTATGAGTTAGAGATTCACAACTTGGAGAATGTGTGAAGAAAACACACATATAGGTTCTCTTTATAAGAGTCACAGCTTAATTACACAAATTGGGCATAATGTTAAACCAAAGAGAGAAATTTAATCCTACTATGTCATTTTTAGGGATCCTAATATGTTTACCAACAAGTCTCCCAGTTGGAGAGAGTTCGGATAAAGAGATTGGGGAAGGGGTGGGTGAGTTTCCCTAATGAACTGTGTTTCCATAGTGAATATCTGCTCATTTAATCAAGTGATATCCTCACACTTGGGCCCTGTTGTTTTGAGGGTTGCAGAGCCACTCTGCTTAAGACTTGAATGTCCTTGTGGCAAAGGAATGTGTCCTGAGACAAAGTGCAAGGAAGCTAATGGATAGGAATGACTGCTTATTGGGCAAGGATGAGAGTGCATAGACAGCAGAATGGCTTTGATTATCACATTCAGTCCCTTTTATAATCCAGTATAGCACTACCTTCTGGGAAAGCTTCAGAGCCAAAGTGCTGTGATATCAATTGGCTGCACATGAAGGCCTATCAGAGAAGAACCAGAAACTCGCAGCCCTTACAGGTGTTTCCCACCACCTGGCCATTAATAACCCATATTTATGTGTGTCTTTGAATGTACCTTTCTCTAAGTCCAGAGAAGCCAAAGGCTTAAAAGCCATGCTGCTAACAATAGGATCTTCTGTCCACTGCCTCCTTTCTCCTACCCCTTCAGCAGATATCAGTCACTTTGAGTAGGGCCAGGAATTTGATGCTGATTTGCAAACAGCTGTGGTATGAAACTGGCCCTCAGTTGGTCACCCTGAGCAGAGGCAGCAAGCCTGTCAGAGCCAGGTGGTGCAAGTACTGAACAGGAAGTGTACTTGAGTCTGTTATACTCAAGGAAGATATTCTGACCTGTGGGAGGGTGAGGAGGTCCTCAGGTAGTTCTTTAGAATCAAAGTGTTTAGAATCAAAGTGTCTGATAGCTATGTGCTATTGGATTCTGTCCCCGGTTTTAAGCCCCCACAGATTTTTTACCTTCCAAGAGCCATTTGATACTAGCAGAACCCATCACTCTTCCTCTCCACCTCCCATCACTCTGTAAGCATTTATAGGAACACTACATTAGGTGCCAGGATAAAATGATAAGTAAGTCATTGTCTCAGCTCTTACAGCACTGACAGTCTACAGAGGAGATACAAAGGGAAGTAGGTAGTATGACATGTTCCACAACAGGGTGCTAGGAAACTCCAGAGAAGAGGACACTCAATTTGGCCTGAGGAGGTAGAAGAAGAGCCATTTGAACTGAATCTTAAAGGTTCTCTAAGGGATAGTTTTCCAAGCAGAGGAATCAGCATAAGCAAAGCTCAGAGGCGTGAGAAGCAGTGACTTGTCCTAGCAGTGCCCCCTCGTGGTCCACACAAGATACAATGTCTACATGGGTGCCAGAGCAGCATGAGGACACTGTGAATGCCTTCTGTTTTCTTTCCTCTTTCCTTTCTGAGAAGAGCAGTGACCTGGCAGCCTAGATTTGACCAAGGTCAGTCTTTGAGCTAAAGTGTTAATTCTGCAGAGTAAATAATATCTCACACACACACACACACACACACACACACACACACACACCTTTTCTCTCCAAAGGCTAAAGAGGGTGCCTCTCTGCCTTTTTGGTAACACTGGGTGTTTACACAGTAAGCCAAATCGGTCTCCCTGTTGCAGTCATTGGCTGAGGGCAGTTCTGGCACCAGTCTCAGTTTCTGCAGTTATCGCAGTGAGTGCAGCTTGGATGTTTTCTCTAGAGACAAACAGAGGTTCTGAGGCCCGACTTAGGGTAACGTGCCAGAGCCATCAGCAGCTTCACTGGTCTGCAGTGTGGGGTATAGAGAAAATTCTCAGTTCAAATACCAACCTTCCTTGCCCATTGAAAGCTGGTTTAATCCCCAGTGCATGGGAATTTTAAAAAAGACCAAACTTAGGATCTGGGAATTGGGATGGGCAATCCTGTAATTGTCAAAGTTCCAACATTGCGGCAAGGCTCTTTTCCTCTTGGGCAGGCGTGGCTCTTATCATGAGTTCAGAGAGGGAGACTTGCCTGTCTGTGACAGCATGGGGCTTCGATTCCACCGAAAGCAGCCGCTCGCCAGGCCTCCCTGGCTGGTTGTTTGTCTTCAAGCTCCATAAATCGTGGGAGGAGTAATGCCTCATGACTGATTAGCCATTGATCCCTTGTAAACTCTGTGAGACCCGATTATATAGAGGAGGAGAATGTTAGGATGCCAGATCCTGTGTTGGAGAAAGGATGCTCTGGAGGTGGGGCAGATAAGGAACATCCAGTAAGTGCTTGTCGCATGAGTAATTGTAACTCTCTGCAATATTGACATGAGATTTTTCTGAAGGGAAGACATTTATCCCCTATAGAGGCTCTCCCTCAAGAGCTGGCAAGGTACTAGAGCAGAGTGTTTTGTCAGCTGCTCCCCCTTCCCCGTTTGTTCTGTTCTCATTAAATGTTGGTTGGTTGACAAGAGTGTTTATATTCTCACTTTTAGCTTTACCCAGCAGTTTCTTTGGATTGTGCTTAGAAAAGAAGACAGCAAATTACTTAGAAATAAAATCTTGTTGGTCCTTTAGAACAGGGGTCCCAAACCCCTGCGCCACTGACAAGTATTGGTCTGTGTCCTGTTAGGAACTGGGCTGCATAGCAGGAGATGAGCAGCGGGCAAGCAAGCAAGCTTCGTCCGTATTTGCAGTTGCTCCCCAGCACTAGCATCACCACCTCAACTCCACCTCAGATCATCAGGCATTAGATTCTCATAGGATCACCGGTCCCTGGTACCAAAAAGGTTGAGGACCACTGCTTTAGAACAGTGATTTTCAATCCAGGGGCTTTTTAAAACTGTATTCGTTAAATCCTTTAATACTATAATATTGAACCAAGGCTGCTAGTGAGACTGTGCCATGGCCTTCAGGTGTGCTGAGGTGGGGAGAAAGGTTTATGAACCACAGCTCTCCTGAATCTTGAGACAGGCCCTTCCAGAGGTTAGGGGTCTCTAGGAATATTTGCCCAGGTCAGACCACATGGCCTTTGATTCTTGCCAGCTTCCTGTAGGCTAGGAGGAGAGTGATCCAGACACTGGACAGGAGAAACTTATCAGTCTCTGAAGAGGGTATCTGCCTGTTCACCTGGAAGGCCTTCCCTGGTAAAGCCCATTGTCCCTTGCTGAAAGACAGAATGATGTAAAGGAGTATGTGGAGAATGTCAACAATAACAGTGTCTGGCAAGTCAACCTCATCTAGAGAGAATACTTGTTAGTAAGTACTTTAAATCCACCCAGTCCTGCCCCTGGGGAATCAAGAGGGTTATGTGCATGAAGTCAGCATGCCTGCCTGGCATAAGATAGCGTTTATCTAAGGAACAATGGCTCTCAGCAAGGGTGGCATGGGTGGAGGTGTCTACATGCATGCATACAAGTAGTGTATAACACTGGACTTTTTAAAATTTTTGACTTTTAAAAATTTACCCTTTTGCAAAATTATCATAGGACAGAAAATTAGCAGACCTTTTTATTAGAAGCTTTTTTCTTAGTAGTCTAAAATCACCCTCCATTTTTTTGCTCCTCCTTTTTTCCTTCTCTTTTCTTTTGTCTCCAGTTGTTTTTCCTTTCCTTGTCTCTTAATCTGTGTCTCCCTTGTCACCCTGATTGGCATCTCAGAATCACAGCATAGGAACTGTTCACCCAGTGGAGGAAGGGACTGTGATCTTAGAAGTCATCTTCTAAGATACTAATTGGAATATGTGGAGTAGCCACCTGGGAAGTCCTAGAACCTTGAATTTCTTGTTGACTCTAGTCCTTGGGATTTTGAATGGTCCTTCCATCTGGAGGTCAAAACGTGTTCCTGACTAGTGCTCTGTGGTGGAGTATCTTTTCTCCTTCACCAAAAGCTACCATCTCATTGCAGATACCAGCAGAAGCATTTACATTTTAGGAGATAGGCCTTTCTAGATGTGATTAATGACCCTTCAGTGCACCCCAAATGCATAGATGGCTGGGTTTGAGGGAATCATGCCATGCCAGAGTGAAGAGACCAGGGCTGACCTTTGATTACCTCCCCACCAAGTTGGGAACTCTGGTGAGCCCTTCATCCCCACCATGTTATACTGAGGAGAAAGACCAGCATTTGCTGGCATAGGCTTGCCCACCAGACTGCGGAGAAGGGCCTGGAGGAGGAACGTGAGCACAAGCTAGAGCTTCAAGAGAAGTAAGTGTGAGTAGCTCTGGCCATCCTGGGGGTCCAGTAGGAGGTACTTTAGATCACTTGTTGCTATTTTCCACAGCAGTTTTTCCTGGCTATTTTTTTTTTTTTTTTGTAATGATAAAGCAGTTATTTATTTATTTTTTATTATTATAGTGACATTGGTTAATGAAATCCAGTAAGTTTCAGGTGTGCAATTCAACAGTAAGGCATGTATATATTTCATTGTGTGTTCACCACCCATAGTTAGATTTCTTTCTGTCACCACATATTTGACCCCTTTTACCCCATCTTCCTCCCCGCTCCCAACTCTCTCCCTACCTTTTAGTAACCATTAGCCTATTGTTCATGTCCACGAGTCTCTGTTTGTCCTGTTTGTTGCTTTTAGGTTTATATCCCACAATAAGTGATATCATGTGGTTTTCAATTTTTTCTTTCTGACTTATGTCACTTAGCATGATTATCTCAGGGTCCATCCATGTTGTCACAAATGGCAATATTTCATCTCTTATGGCTGAGTAATATTCCATTGTATATATGTCCCACAGCTGCTTTATCCAGTCATCTATCGTAGGACACTTCGGTTGCTTCCATGTCCTGGCCACTGTGAATAATGCTGCTATGAACATTGGTGTGCAAATAGCTTTTTGGATATATGTTTTCAAGTCTTTGGGGTAAATACCCAGTAGAAGAATTGCTGGATCATATGGTAGATCAATTCTTAGTTTTTTGAGGAAACTCCATACTGTTTTCCATAGTGGCTGTACCAATTTGCAGTCCCACCAGCAGTGTATGAGGGTTCCTTTTTCTCCACATCCTCTCCAACACTTGTTATTACGTGTCCTGTTGATAACAGCTATTCTAACAGGTGTGAGATGGTATCTCATTGTGGATTTGATTTGCATTTCCCTAATAGCTAGCGATGTTGAACATCTTTGCATTTGTTTGTTGGCCAATGTGTTTTCTTGGGAGAAGTGTCTGTTCAGGTCTCTGCCCATTTTTTAATTGGATTGTTTATTTTTTGTTGTTATTGAGTCATATGAGTTCTTTGTATATTTTGGATATTCAGCCCTTATCAGAGGCATTGCTTGCAAATGTATTTTCCCATTCAGATGGTTGTCTCTTTTCCTTGTTGACAGTTTCTTTTGCTGAACAGAAGCTTTTTAGTTTGATGTAGTCCCATTCATTTATTTTAAAGCAGTTATTTTGGCTCTCTAAAAAATGGATCCTCTCTTCCCACTAACGTGTAACTTTATGATTTGCTTTTCAGACATATTTCCAGGAACTTGATATTATAGAAGACCACTTGGATAAATATAGAGTAGTATCATTAACCAAATCACCTTTTTCTTGAGAATTTCTTGGGTTCCTACACTTAACACTAGAGGTATACAGAGTATTTTTAGAGCAAGCTCAAATGAGTTGGTATTCTAGATTTCTGTGAACTAATCATGGAGAGTGGTTGGGGTATCACTGATTATGCCTCTTTTTTTCTCCCCCATAGAATACCATAGAATTAGGTACCTAACCACTGAGGCTTCTCTTCATCAGCTAGATATGTATCCTGTTAAACTGCCTGCTGCTATGATTCTTAAGAAATCTGATAAGACCAGACATGTTCCTATTCCTGGTTAGGGCTTCTGCTCAAATTATTTTCTGTTTTCCCTCCCTGGAGAACTTGGACCTCTTTTACCCTTGGTCCATGAACCCCAAAGAAACAACTCCTCCTTACTAACTTTCTCTAGGCCTTTCCTTCTTCTCAGTACCCACTAAGAGCCAGGGGCTGGGAATAAAAGTTAGCAGGGCACATGCAGCCCCTGCCCTCATGGAACTTCCGGTCTAGATGCAGGGCCTAGGCTGCTTCTAGTAAAGTGCTGCAATAAGAGAGATGAAAGGTGGTAAGTAAAGGTCAAAGAAAGGCAGAGAAGTGAAAGGAAGTGAAAGGGAGGAGGGTGCATATAATAGGTAGAGGAGCCAAAAGCAAGAAAGCAAGGGGATTTTGAGGGCTGAAACAAGGGCAGAGTGGCTGGATTGTAGAGTGCTAGAGAGAGCGTTGAGCAACGAGACTGGAAAAGCAGGCAAGACTAGATCATGAAGGGTCTTCAAGACTGTGTTAAAGCTTTAGCCTAGGGGCTGTTGTGAAACTATTGAAAATTTTAAGTGGAGATGTGACTGTTTATATTTTTCTGGACAGGCTAATGTGGCTGCAGTGAAGATAAGTGGTGATGGGAATAAGAATAGAGGTAGTAACCTTGGTCAAGGCTGGTAGTGACTGAGCTAGAGAAAGAGCAGTGGGGATGGAGAGAGTGGATGGACTTGAGCAGTAGTTCAAGGGGTAGAATCTACAGGTTTGTGGAACTGTTTTGCTGTGAGGAATGAGGGAGCTCAGAGTAGAATATCACTCCCAGGTTTCTGTCAGGAGCAGCAGGGTGGATGATGGTGCAGTTGTTTAGACTAAAGTTGAGGGCACCTGAAGGAATCAGTGAAGCTGTTTAATGGGTATTTGAAAATGTAGGTCAGAGCCCACTTCTCTGCCTTTCTTTGACCTATACTAGAGCCCAGAAGATACTAGATTTGGGGATACTCTCTGTCGGTGGTAAGAGCCAAAGGTCAAGTCCCTATCCTCAAGAAACACCAACATTGAAGGGATGGATAGTAGAAGAGGAGTATGCCCGGCTTGAGGGGTGGCCAAAGAGAGATGGAAAAAGAGGGCAGTGTGGGACAGGCAACAGAAGACATCAGAATGGTGTGCTTGGAGCCTTCTTGACCACACCCTTCTTTGAAGTAGCCCCCTCATTACAGTCTAGACAGCTCCTTATTATTTCTTTCAAACACTGACAAGATTGAAATTATATTCGTTATTATGCTCTTGCCCCTTGATTTATAAATTTGAGGGCAAGGTTTTATATTGCTCTGTGTGGTATTCTCATGGCCTAGAAGAGTGTTTGATAGGTCTTCAGTAAATGCGCAGTAATGAATGATTACGAAATGAGGGGTCGGCTGTAAGAAATGCTGCTGAGAAGATAAGGACAAAAAGTTGCCCTTTTGATGTAGCATGTGTGTGGGACATAGATGACTTTCTTTAGTATAAGTTTGGGGGACAAATGGGGTCAGAAGCCAGTTTGCAGTGAATTGGGGAATTGGTATGAAGTGAGAGTGGAGAAGAGTAAGAATGTTCTTCAAGAAATTTGGCTACAATTAAGATGGTAGGGAGCAGCACTAAGAGACAGTTGTAGTTGGAGGAGGAAGTGGGGTAAAGGATTTTTGTTGTTTTTTAAAGACACAAGAAATTTGAGCATGTTCAGTTGCTGATTGGACGACAACTGTACAGAAGGAGATGCTGGGAAGCTGAGATAGTGAATAGAGCTCATTTCTTAGGAAGGCCGAAGATAGGAGAGATGCAGAGCACAGATGGAGGAATTAGTCTTTATAAGTAGGAGGGTACGTCCTCTGTTTTATAGAGAAAAGTATAATGTGGGCAGGTGGGCAAGGAAATTTACTTGAGGGAAGTCAAGACAATTTTTCTTGAGGCTTCTGCGTTTTTCTGTGAGCTATTAGATAAGGCCTTTAGCAGAGAGAAAGGGAGCCTCACTTGGTTGTCTCAGCTTTCCAAAGCTGAAGTTGTGCCCACCCCCAAGGCCCCCACCTCAAAGGCAGCCCAGAAGTGAGAGAAGTAACCTTTATAATCCTTTCAGTCTTCCTACTAAAGCATTCCAGACCTCAGTCTCAGGGAAGGGGACAATTTCCTGGGGGGCTTTATTGTGCCCTTAGTGTATGTAAGCCAGGATCTCTGCTTTCCCAGGATCAAGGAAGGAGAAGCTATTGGAAAAGACTGGAGGCCAGTAAATAGCTCCTCCTACCCACTTCCTCTCTGAAAATGGAAGAACTTCCACCTCTCCCTGCCAGTAGCTGTGTAATTTTCTCCTTTGTTCAACAGATGTTTCTGAGGGCCAGCTTTGTGCCAGTCACTGTTCTAGGTGTGAGGAATAGAAGAAGTGAAAATCTAATAAGTTAGATATGATTAGAACTATAGAGAAAAATAAGAATGGGACCGGGGAGTGGTGGAAAGAGCATTGGTGATTTTGGGTAGGGTAGTCAAGGAAGGGATCACCAAGAAGTTAATATTTGAGGAAAGCTCTAAAGGCAGTAACCATGCTGTCATCTGGAGAAAGAATGTCCCATGGAGAGGGAATAGGAAGAGGGGAGCGTGCTTGGGGTGTTGGAGGAACAGCAAGGAGGCCAGTGTGGCTAGAGTGGAGTAAGCGACAGGGAGAGGAGTAGGAGGCAAGGTCAGGAGGTTTGGGGGGAGGCAGGTTGTGCGGGGCCTTGGGGCTTTGGAATGACCTTGACTTTAACACTTACTCTGAGAGAAGTGAGGAGTGGGCTTTGAGCAGATTGATGTGACCACTACTTTCTCTTTACTGTGGCTACTGTGTGGGGAAGAGACTGAGGGTGGCAGTAGGGAGGCCAGAGAAGAGACATGCAGGCTTCTCTTTTATTTCTCTTTTCTTTCTCTCCAAAGCAAAGAGACTGTCCTGAAGACCATGCTCCAAGGGCATTTGAAAGACTGCCAGGCAATGGGAGCTTAGGATGGTCTGAAGGATTCTTCGTGGACTGGTCTTGGACCGCTCTGAGACAAAGCGTGGGATAGAACCACGTGGGACAGAGACTGAATTAGGAAGTTCTCCGTCACGAGCCTTCCATGTTGACCAGCTCTGCTGCTGCCACCATGATCTAAAGCACCACCGGAACTCACCACACCACCTGCTTTCAGGGTACTTAATAGACTCTGCTTCACTACATGTTGATTATAGTTATATAGTTCTGTTCTGCTTTTTAAATTTGTTGTTTTTGTTATTGTTTTGGTACCTCAGAAGCACCTCTGTTGGCATTTGTTTTGGACATCTTGGATGTTGATGTACCCCTATGGCTGCCCCTGCAAGGTAAAGCAGCCTCTATTTGAGAGGATGGCATACCTCTTTGTGAAAACAAGATATCATTTCCTGGAAATAAAATGTAAAACCTATCAATTGCTCAGCTGGGCTTTAGTGTATTTATCTTTCTTCCCTTCCAGCTCCCAGACAGTCTCACAAGTAAACACTGGCAGCTCATAAATTGCAACCAAGAAAGTGACTATATCAGATGATAGACTCAAGTGAATGTCAGCCTGCGAAGCCAAGCCCAAGATCATGGCCATAGCAGATGGGCTCCGTTAAGCCCCTGACTGTTGTGGTTTTGTTGTTGTTGTTGTTGTTGTTGTTGTTGTTGTTGTTGTTGTTGTTTACTCCAGAGGTAGGTCACTGCTTACCTAATTTCGGGATGGGATGAATTACCTTCTTTCATCTGGAGTTCTAAAATTGTTTTCAAATTTATTTTACCCAGTGTCAAAATACAGGCAGTGATTTTATGAGAACTTGGGTGTGGTTTTTTGTTTTTTGTTTTTGTTTTTGTTTTTTTTAAAATTAAAGGCATCTCTCTTTTGCTGCCTCCTTAACAGAAAGAAAACTAGTTTGATGTTTGGGAGATAGAAGCTTAGGATAACCTGTGGTATCTTAGGTTACCAGTGATGAGAATGAGGGACAATATGGGAAGTTGAAGAGCTGTCATTTGAAATGGGGAGGTCTCTAGTAGGATTGTGAACTGTCAGCAATTTCCCAGCAGGTGGAAAGGTATTTATTTTCCTCTCCCTTTTTACCGCCTACCTGGAGAACCATTCTTTGTAATTCTTTATTTATACCCCATGTATTTTCATAAAAGATTGGAAACTATTGACTTGCCAACTTTTTAGGGATGGTCTGTTTTTTCTTTTGTTGAATATACTGTGAAATTGGGATTCTGGAGTCTCTAGTCTTCATTTCCATCTTTCTCACCACGAGTAACAGTTGAAATACTGGTGTGGTAAAGGAAGAAGTAAATTAAACATTTTAAAAATATCTTTCATAACCACATTATAAAAATTCTGGAGAAATAGAGAAAAGATTATTACCATCTTGATGTAATAATATCCCGTTTCTCCTATACATGTGTTTTGTTTATGTGATTGCATCGACATATATAAATTTTTATTTGTTTTCTCTTCAGTTCATTCTTTTAGAAGAATACAGATAAACATTTTTTGAATAGGTAATATGGTCACATGGTTTGAAATCAAAAGGTACAGGAGGACCCAAAGAGAAAATCCTGTCAACCTTGTCCTCAGTGACCACTTCCCCACACAGAGGCAGTTAGTGTTACCCATTCCCTGTGTCCTTCCACAGGCCTCTTCTGTCTATATAAGCGGATACAGGGATGCACGTGTGTGGTCTTTCCCCTTCTTTTGCACAAATGGTAACAAACTATACACTATTCTATAACTTGCTTTCCCTGAAGTTTCATGTTGGTACATAAGGAACTTCCTCTTTCTTCGTTACAGTGGACTATTATTCCATTGAATGTCTGTACAATAATCTGTTTTTCCAGTCTGTTCGTTGTACCATAATTTGTTTTTCCAGCCTGTTTGTGACCTTGTTTGCTTTAAACCTTTTATTCTTTTTTTTAATATATAGCTCTCAAAGAAGGTCCTATTAAATAAATGCCAGAATATATACTTTTAACTAAAACAGCAAAAATAACAACAAAAAGTTATATAGAACCCAAAAAGTAGTCATGAAGAAAGAGAAAGGAAAATTTGGGAATCCACATGCTGGGAGTTCTTTATTAAAATCAAGGAGGCTCAAATCTGTTCTTTTATTAAAAAATATTTACGGATAATGTTTTTTTTAAATGTTTCATTAGTAATAGTCTTATAAGTCTGGTTTCATAATAATCTATAATGTAACCACTTCCATCTGAAGGTCCAACAATCTGCATTGAAATAAAAATGAAATCAATTAGGCTCCCAATTTCACAAAACCTTACAGCGCAAAACTTCAATAAACCCAAGGCAGAGGGTCCAAGCTGAAATTGATCTGCTTCCAACCAACCAAGAAAAAGACAGTGCAGCTGCCACTTTGTATGAACAGCCATTTATGTTTTGACAAGATATGGGCATGGGAAAATAAACTTCATTTCCAGGAAAATGTTTCATTGTCACTGAAATCCTTAGAAGTTATTTTGGGTGCTAGAAAACATAGAACATCAGCTATGTATTTGTAGTTAACTGGTTCTTGTCTAACACTGTTTCTTTTTTTTTTTTTTTTTTTTTTGGATACTTACAAATATATTGTCCCATTTTGAGGTCCTCACACTTACTTCTCCTTGCCCCCAGTGGTAGTGGCAGCAACTCCCCAAGGTCCTATGATGACTACACAAGCTACAGGACACATATATTGGGGACCAATTCATCTCACTTTTTATAAAACAATGCTGCAGTGAACACTCTTATACATACATCATTAGAGGAAAGATCCTCAAAGAAGAAACATCTTGACTGAAGGTGATCTGTAGAGACTGATCTCACAAACTAACTATCCTCTCCCTCAGCTGCTGGACACAGAGTGACTTGCAACCTCTCCCTGCAAAATACCACATTTCTCTCAAGTGTGCCACACAGGTTAAGAAACTGAGCTCTTAAATATAGACTTCAAAAAAGAAAATATTTAAAAGTCCGACTAGCTGAATTTGAATCCCAGCCCTGCCATTTGTAACTGTGTGACATTAGGCAAGTTATTCAATCTCTCTGAGTCTCGGTTTCTTTTTTTAAACTTTTAAAATTAAATTTATTGGGGTGACATTGGTTAATAAAGTTATATAGGTCTCAAGTGTATAATTCAATAATACATCATCTGTATGTTGCCTTGTGTGTTTACCACCCAAAGTCATTTCTCCTTTCATCACCACATATTTGACCCCCTTTACCCTTATCTACCTTAGTTTCTTCATTGCTAAAATACCGATATGTTATTGTGAGGCCTAAATATTCCAGTTACTGCACTGCCCACAAACAAAAACCTCACTGTTCTATTTTATTTTAAAGGCACAAACTAAAAGTTAACCTCCTCTTTTGCATTATTTCTCTGAGCTACAGTATATTCTTTCCCTGGTGAGATATCTGATATTAAACATCTATATTTTGCTTACTGAGATAAATACAGGGTAACTTTTCTGCCTTGTAGCACCAAACCATAGTAGAGCTGAGCCCCACTACCGTGCAGTCTGGCTCTAATTAAAGGCATGTTCTCGACAACAGAGCTCTGAGAAATCGGGTAAAGAGGGTTTATTTCAGATTCTGGCTTTATTAAGCAGATGAATGCAGCCAGCTAGCTCTGTGAGGCACTTTGCAGTGAGTGAGTGGCAGGTGTCCCATATCTATCTGATTATGTTAACCTAGAAAGCGCTCGCTTTGCCCCTAGGCATGCTTCATCCAAGCTTTCAGACTGTACCCAGGGCAGGGGACTTTGCTCTTTGTGGGCTGGAAATCTGGATACCCATCCTCTGTTGCTCTGATTGGAAGCTGCTGTTGTTATAGAAAGACCTGAATCCACTCACTATCTCTGGCCTTTCTCTCTCACTACTTTTTCCTCCTCCATGAACAATCAGTCATTCAGGCTGTCACCACAGCTGCAGAAGTGCTTGGGATGGGCAGCCCTCTCCAACTGCTCGTTGACATTTTACAGCCTGACTGAAGAGAATCTTCTCACTTATCCAAGGATAACCTGGGAGTTCAGAGGCACCCAAGGTTTAAGAGAAGAAACTTGCATTGTAGTCCTAACCTAGGAAAAACCTAAGACAATTTGGAGAATCCTGGAATCGCTGTTCCTTGCGCAGAAATGCAGGCTTGTTAACAGGTGCAGGGCCTGACTTGAGCAGCATGCCGTCGTTGGTTACAGTAGCCCACTGGGTTGTTCTTCTGAACACGTTAGCTTCTTTCAAAGAAAGAAAACTTCCCACCTGGTCAACTCTTCCTACTTTTCCCATATATGGGAATGGAGGCAATAGGTGTAGGGGCTACTGGGGAGAAGATGGGGCCTTGTATTGATGGAAAATAATGAACTGTCTTGTGCAGCTGATTATTCAGTTTAGAAGAGCATATGGATCCTAGGAAAGGGCTGGACCCATAGTAGCTGCTCAATAAATACTCAGATACTGTAATTCCTTCAGCAGCACTCCAAACAGTACCCACCATGGGTATTCTGAGTTCATTAATTTAATCTCCAAGTAATATTTCCTGCTTGCTGCTGCTTTATCAAAACCTAACCCAGATTCCCACCTCAGATCTAGTTTCCAGACCCACTTCCCTTTGGGGGTCTGTGAATAATTTAATCTGGTGTGACTTTTTTTTTCAAACAGCAGCCAAATTCTGAATTCTGTATGTTTCCAATAAATTCAATTCAACAATCATTATTAGATACCCATTTTTTTTTTTTTTTTACTAGGCACTGCTCTAGGTGTTTAGGGTATGGCACTGAACAAAACAAGGTGTTGCGAACCTACATTCTAATAAGGGGTCAAAAAGTCGAAAGCTTCCCACAAAAGTCTTATTAGATTCTGTGGCAGGGGCTTAGCAGTGTGTCCTCACATTTCCAAACCCCAGGCAGACAGCTTGTAGGCTATACCTGGCCCACCTGGGTTGCCAGAGCCTTCTCAGTTTGCTTCCAGTTCTACTCCCCCTTGGCATATAGGCACCAGCTCTTTGGAAATCAAGCTCTCCTGGGCTCCTACCCAGCTCTAACCAAGGGCCTTCAAGGGCATCTCTGAGGCAAGTTTGGGTCCTTAGCGTGGAAGACAGGCCCTGAAAACCCCTCAGTAGTACATAAGAACACCATAGTTCTATGCAGGCACGCACCCAGGAGACCACTGAGGGGGCCTCAGGTGATACTACTTCACCCCAGGTAAGCACAGCCAAGTGTTTCTGAAGTGATTATTGACACCAAACTTAACCTGGGGATGGATGGGATTGGACAGATTTTCACATATGACTCTGTGAGTTTATGTCTAGCTATGAGAGGACTCCCCAGTTTCGTGGCCCTTTCTCAGTTCTTTTCTTCTTGGTTCCTCACCTCCTTACCTGGCCTCTCCCAGTGGTACACTGACTCCCAAGAGCTGATTTTATCTCTTCCCAACTCCACATTCAGTGAGGTTATGTTGGTATGTTGGGTAGTTTGAAATCAGCCACGGTGGGAATATTTACACCACAGAAATTGGCAAATCAGAGATTTCCTCCCTGGATAGCCAGTTAAACATATACCGGAACATCACTGGCATCCTGCCACATGATTGATTCCTGAGGCTTTCTTGCCCCAGGTTTTCCCAGTTCTGAGAAAGCCACTAATCAGGCCAACGGTGCTACCTCCTTCCCGGTGCTCTAGAATGTCCCCAGGAGTGGTGTCACTCCTGGTAATGGTGTCACTGCAGAGGCAGAACAGCCCTCCCTACAACTCTAGGCCACACTTGATCACCTTCGGAATCACTAACACCTTTGGAATTCCCAAATTCTCAACAAAATACCTGCTGACCATCAATCCCATAACCGCTGGGGCTCAGACCTAATCCCAGAGGCCCAGGGAAGAAGGCAGATGACATGCCACCCAGCATTTTCCATTTCCTTCTTCAGTAACCTGAGCTCTCATGCTATCAGTGTGGATGGGTACTTAGCAGAGGGTCTGGAGGATAGGAATGTAACCAACAGCAGCAGAGCCTTAGTCCTTAGCATGGCCAATCCATCAGTGTGCTCCATCTTTTTTTCTCAAACTGTCTTCCTACAAGAATCCTTTAATGGAAGGTCGGAACGGGCACTGTGGCTGGGGCACAGGGCATTTCTCCAGGGAGCTTTAATGCTGGATTGTGTGAACTACATGTCACATTGAACCACATGAATCTGGATATTAGGTCTCCCTCCCCTGGAATACGAGGTTC